TCGCACGGTTGTAGCAAGAAAACTAGGTGGCTTGAAGGATGAAATCTGGTCTGCRGATCCCGCAACAAGCACCAAGGGTACTGCCATTTTAATTCCCAACTCCTCCCRCCTATACAAGGCAGGCGCCATCTTAGATAAGAGGGCTGACCAATCGGAAGGAAGATGGTGCTTACTCCATTTAAAATGGAAAGAAGAAGAGTTCATTCTCATTAATGTTTATGCWCCTAACTCGCCGTCTGAGAGAAAGATTTTTCTGAGGAATATTGGAGACCTAATCCCACCAGTAATCCCATGCATCCTAGCTGGGGACTGGAATGCCACCTTAGACCCACTCCAAGACCGTATTTCTCGTTCGTCTAGCTCCCCCAACTCTTCTGAAGCATGGCCAATCCAGGAGATGATGTTAGATCACAATCTGGTGGACCCTCATAAAACCTTACACCCGGGTAATAAGTCTTTTACCTTGGTTAAGAAGAATCATGCTAACCACACGGCCTTCTCACGCATCGACTACTTTCTACTATCAGAAAACCTGATGGGAGCCGTCAAAATTGCAGAAGTACTTCCCTTAGCCCCGTACTCGGGCCTGGATCATAAACCGATCGAGTTGGTTATCTGCTTTGACCAAGTGGTTAGAAAGGGGGCCARCTTCCACAAACTCAACAATTCTCTTCTACTGAGYCARACCTTTCAAAATGAAGTGTGCGACTGCTGGAACAATCAGAGGCTGGCTAGGTTGAGCACTGGCCACCGTTGGGATTGGTTCCAAGAGAGTTACTCAAACCTCTCGGACTCTGTGSCCAAAACCTCTAGAAAACTGGCATCAATCAGGAACCAAAGAAAGCAAGCTCTAGAATTTGCGYTGAAAATYGCGGAAACCAATCTCATGAATAACCCCTCCTCCCCACTATACAATGAAATTTTTGTAAAGGCACGAGAAGAATTGGCAATATGGAAATGGTGGAATTTAAAAGGCCTACGAATAAGAGCAAAAATGTGTGAGTATGAGCTCAGTGACTCAATGACAAAACATTTTTTTGCCCGTATTAAAGCAAACTCTAGAGCGAACACGATAGAAGGCCTTAAATCACATGCAAAACCCGAAACATCAAGAACAGACAGTGAAGGAATGCTAGAAATAGCAAATAACTTCTACAAGGACCTTTATTGCTCCAAAACTGAATCACCGTTACCGRCGAATATTAGGGAAGCGAGACATAAAATGCTGCGTTACCTGGAACAAACAATATCAACAGACCAGGCCGAGTCGCTCGAYAAACCAATCACACTAGATGAACTGCATCAAGCCCTACMAAGCATGAATAACAATAAAACCCCAGGTATCGATGGCTTAACGAAGGAATTCTGGGAAAAATTMTGGCCAAYRCTAGGGAACGACCTGCTCAACTTTTACAACGATAGCTGGTCAAAGGGTGGACTAGGCAATCTACTCAGCAGTAGTGTGGTAACGCTGCTGTACAAAAAAGGGGACAAAGCCGACATCAAGAACTATAGACCTATATCTCTCCTGACTCTCCCATATAAGATTCTAGCCAAGACCCTGTCTAACCGGATCCYCAAGATCACTAACAAATGCTTYCATATTGACCAAACAGGATTCATCYCGGGCCGATATATTTTAGACAATGTGATGACGTTGAACGAATCGGTRAGAAAAAWTAGGGRAAGGAAAATAAATGCCGCCATTCTTTTCTTCGACTTTGAAAAGGCATATGATCAAGTTAACTGGGACTTCATGGAAGCAAGTATGGAAAGGATGGGAGTTGGTCCTAACTTCAGAAAATGGGTTAGAATTCTATACAGAGATGCAGTGGGCTGTGTCCAAGTGAATGGTCTATTGTCCGACTGCTACCCAATATCCCGCTCAGTCCGCCAAGGGKACCCGTTGGCCCCGTCAATATTCCTCTTCGTAATGGAAGCCATCGCATCCTTCCTGCGCAAGGATCCATCAATACAAAGACTAGCCAGCAYAGATATAGGCTCRKYGCATCAGATAGATTTTCCTACAGYGATCATGTTCGCAGACGATTTAACGGTCCTAATCAGAGCATCAGAMTCCTYCTTCAGAACGCTAGCAAAAGCAATGGAAGCGTTCAGATTAGCTTCTGAAATGAGGATTAATTGGGGAAAAACTATCGGATGGTGGCTCTCCGAGGAGGATCCCCTCTTGCTTCAAGGAGAAGAGGCGGCAATGACATGGCAAACACCGGACTCACCGACCCGCTATCTRGGCATCCTAATGACGAAGGAAGGTTTGGCGCCCCAAATGGGTCCATCTATACTAGCCAAACAGATCAACAAAATCGGGAGATGGGGCAACACTTTCACCTCCCTCATCGGTCGTGCGCTAGTTCTTAACACGTCCGTCTTTTCAATGATGTGGTACATAGCCTCCATTTGGACAATCCCCGACAGCTCAGTCAAGGAGCTGAACCGCAGAGCCAGGGTGTATCTATGGACAGGAGACCCCAATAGAGACCGATGCATACCCAAGATAGCCTGGMACTACGTCACAAGGAAACCAGGTAATGGAGGTCTAGGAATCATCGACCCCGGAACAGAAACGAAAGCTCTGCAAATMWAATGGRTAATTAAACTACTGATGAAACCGGACAGTCCTTGGAACAATTTAGCCTTGGACAGCATCAGATCCCTAGCCCCAATACCTTCCCCGAATGATATGTYAGGACTGTACTGGGTCATGAACAAAGAATGGGTGATAACCACAGGACGGAGGAATYGTAGGAGGCACATTAGACCAGACGACCACCGACCCCCCATGCCCTATTGGACAGCTCTGCTTCACTCRTGGAGAAAGATAATGCCAAACAAAACCAACARACCCAGATCTAAAGATGAAGTACTAAGGCAACCCTTATTTTGTRATGAGTGGCTAACAAACGAAGCTGACAACCCACTCTTCCTAGAACAGAGATGGTTATCTTGGATCAAGAACGGAATCTGGAAGATAGATCACTTGTGGATAGAGGACAGAAAAGMCTGGATAACTGAACAGGAAATCTCAGCCCGTTTGAAAGGATGTCATAGACGAGAGACCAACCTCCACTACATAATCAGTCGCATTCCACAGCCGTGGAAAGACATCCTGACTAAAGATGATTCGTGGAAACCGGGTGAATGGGGCCTCTTGATTCAGGACACAACACTGACCAGGGCCTACCAATTCTCTCACACACAGCAAGGCCCGCACAATAGGGCCACTTTCCTCTCCTTCCCGATCTCCCTCACCATCTCCGACATGCCCATGATCTCAAACTGTGATGTAGAGTCTTCAGTATTAGACCCCTTCCTCCTTAGGAAAATAAGAGTTCTAGGCAACTGGCCAAAATCAATATTTAGACCAGACACGGCAATTAGGGCCTTGGAATTCGACCCGGCAGAATGGGCCTGGACACCAAATACCACCAGCATCTTCAAGACGAAAATCCCAATCCAAGATTACACAGTCAAGCTAGGATACAGGTTGTCTTTAAAAACTAAAAACCCTGATCCGATTATTAAGGAAAGATGGCGCAAGCTCTTGGGCCAGGAAGCTGACAAAATCRCAAAAATCCATTGGGACAAATTCAAACGTATTAGACCAGTCAAGATTAGAAGCCTACAATGGTTGATTGTCTACGTTGCCCTACCGGTGAACCAATGGTTACACACTAGAAGAAAAACCACAGACCCTRATAGCTCTGAACTTTGCACCATATGTACAGAAGGTTTGGTTGAAGATGTAGTTCACTGCCTAATACTCTGCAAAGAAGCCACTGAATATTGGGCCAGAGCCTCAGTACTCTGGAACTCCCTTTTCTCTTCTCCCTTTCCCGATCAACCCATACAACTGCTCCTCCTGACTAACATCCCTGATCAAGCACGAAAGACAGAAAGGATTTGGTTTGAACTCATCAGGAAAGTGACCATTTGGGTCATATGGRAAGAGAGATGCAGCCGAACAATCGAAGGACAGGCCAACCCAAGAGAGAAAGTATGGTCAGAAACCAGAACTTTGATTCAAGCCGAGATTCTCTGCAGATGGCGGAAAGTCAAACAATCCTGGACCGATGATGAAGAACAGAGGAAGAAGGCGAGGTCGAGCTTCCACGAAAAYTGGCTAATAAATGGCAAGATCGCAGAACTGCGTGAGGACCGGATAAGCTGGAAAGCCTGGCACAACTCAACTGTGGAGAGAGGTACTCATCAACGAACAACCCTTGAAGATGGGTTAGTTTCTCAAAGCGGCGAGGGATTAAATACAGACCCCWDAAGGCCAATGGACAARGCTCAAGASGCGAGGCGAGGAGGATGAAAATRAGACGAAGGAGAAACGATTTTGCGAGTAGAGACAGAACACACAAAAGGAATTCGGAGCGAGGTGGCCAGGATGGAATGATCTCCTTGCCAACCTCAAACAGCCCATCGAACGACATCTCGACAAAACCAAGGGTTTAGGGTTTATGGAGAAATACTGGTCCGTTCAATAGAGATTCGAAATCTACTTGAGAAGGATTCAGGTCGGATGAGCTCAACGGAGGGACTTTCTCTAGATTCAGCAAGGCGATCTGGCAGATCTGGACACCAGGTCTGAGAGGAGAAAGAGGGTTAGGGCAAGCTGACAGTCAATCCTCCACTATGGTGGAGCAATCAATGCTGTTCAGGGGTCCTTCGGCYGAACGGAAGGAAGCGTGAGTGTGTTATCTTGATGTATATATTGTTGACTTGCCGGGGGAATAGGAACCGGACTGACGCTCCCCAGAATAGAATGGAGCCAGGCCCATAAGGTCCTGTTTAAAAAAAAAAGAAAAAAAAAAAAAAGAAAAAAAAAAAAAGAAAAGAAAAAAGATAGGTTCCCAGCATGTGCTGCTCCCCACAAATAGATCGGAGCTATTGTTCTCTCCAAAAGAAAATCAAAGTAAAAATAAAAAATTGTAATGCGCTTCCGTTTTGATTGCTGGTGCATTCTGTTTTTGCAGGGGTCCTTGTAGAGCCTGTTTATTCTACATCGTACATTATCGACACAGTTCCTGATGACATTCTCAAAGAGTGGGAAAACCCGACGTCTGTTCAAGCCGATTTTTGCCTACCCTCTCCCAATCCTTTCATTCCAGAAGAATTCACCCTCAGATGCCTTTCCCAGACTTCCCCCCCCAAAGGAGAACGAAGAGAATCTCTGAAGGAAGACGAAGGCGAAGGCGAAGGCAAAACTGGAGGCCATAATGAGAGTGAAGGTTCTGCAACCAACATCAAGGCAGTGGAGGAAGGAACATCCAAGCAGACTGATCAGGTGTGCAGCGAAAGCGACAGCAACACAACCACCATCAACGAAGCGGAGGAGGGAACAAATGTTGTCGAGCAAAATGTGCAGCGCATGGCTACAGATGATACCCGTGAGGCTGATGGTAGTACTTATCCAGCTGGCAAGGATGACCACAAGGACCAGTTGGCTGAAGCGATTGCAGGTACGACCCCTGCAGCTGGTGGTAATCACGATAAGCAGCCGCTAAACAAAGGTGCGGAATTGAAGCAAGGGGAGGGACAGCAACAAGATGGGGGGAAGCTAGCATGTTGGACCAAGGTCAAACCAGAAGTCATCTATGAGGACGACTTCATCAAAATGTGGCATATGATGGATTTCAAAGTGAAGACCCCTCGAACAACTCTGTACTTGAAGCTTAGCACAGGGCAAATCCACAGGACTGCAAGGGGAATTGCACTTCTTAAGCTGTTCACAGTGATTTTGAATGATGCGTTAGAGAAAGAATTGTTTTCGGTGAGCATGCCCTGTAACCAAAGCCCTGTGGATTACTCCCCTTTCATATCCTCGTCATCAGCTACTACTACACATAGGATGTCGTATGTTACAAAATAGAAGGACAGCATTCTTCATGTCATAGACTTTGACTCAAAAGTCAATCACAACAATACTGCGCACTGTCAGTCCTTCCTGTCACAAGCACCGGGTATGGCCATCTCTGAATGTGTTTTTTTTTTCAAAAAAGAAAAAAGAAAAAAAAAGAGGACGTACAGTCATTCATTATGGCTGTGTCTAGAGTTGAAGTTGCCCAAAGTACAGCAATAAAAAAGACCACAAGTTCGATTCAGGGGAAGACGGTAAGCACCACTGGGATAGAGGCCTTGCACAAGGGCCTTGCAAAAAAAAAAAAAAAAAAGAAGGGGGAAGACAGTAGCCGCCGCCCAACGCACACAACACTTAACTGGATGTTCAGAGAAGAAGCCTACCACCATGCCATGATTGAAAAAGGACCCAACTCAGCCAAGCAGTAAGTATGCTTTTCTTCTCAAAAGCATCCCTATCATTTAGGGGATCCAAGTCCATGGACTACCGTCGTCACCGGAATAAAACGCCCGTTCATCATTGCATCATCTGGTCGGAGAGTTGCCCCAGATACAGCTATAATGACCGGCTGCTGTATTCCGGTGAAGACCGTAGTTTCAGTTCACGGGGAGCTTGATCCAAGTCCATGGCCTAGTTTCGGTTCACGGGGAGCTTTGGCAAGTACCGTTGGTGGTGTTATGCACAATGTCATGTGTGCAAAAGAGTGGGTTATGGTTTAGGGTCAGGTTCTTGTTTGTAACTGTATTTGGTGGATTGCAGGCACAAAGGTGGGCTGCAGGGCAGCAAAACTATCCAACTGCCCGAGATACCCGGTAGCAGTGGGTTCAGGGATCAAGCCTTGGCCAGAACTTTATGATGCTTACATCCCTATTTGCTCACACAAGGGCTTTTTTTGCAAAAAAAAAAAAAAAAAAAGGGCCTTGGTAGTGATGTGTCCCAGTATTGGAACTCGTATAAACTGTTAATCATCCATGACATTAGGGCTCGCCGCACCACTTGCCAAATGCCAACAATTAGAATGCATCAGGACCAATCCCAAGGCCTCGATACATTCAAAATGTTGGGGTTTGGCGAGCGGTGCCGCAAGCCCCACTGTACATAGTATATACCGTCAGTCACCAGGCGGATGCCAAATTCAGAGTAGCTGCTTCATATTTCGATGCCCAATATGCGATATCTCATTCCGGAGTGCGCAATTCCTTATGACTTGTCTAACACCACCAGGACTTAGGCCAGGTCTCACCCCACTGGCGCTGTGTTGTGTGGATGCTAACGAAGAGCGAATCCGGTCATAATATCCAGTCGGTTGCATGCCAACTTAGCACTGACATAGCACCCATGAGTCCTGAGGGCTAATCCACATGAGTATTGGTGAGTTCAGGTACCACCCCACTTGTGCTGTGTGCATACTAAGAAAGAACGGATCTGGTCGCAAATCCAGTCAGTTGCTTGCTAACTTAGCATAAGCATACCACCCATGATAGGGCCTGAGGCCAGGCACCATGTGTATTGGTGAGCCCTTAACCTTTCATGATATGGCTACGACTCGTGTGTCACTCTTGATGAATGTGCAGGCTTCCTTGGCAGGCCTTGGGTTTTCAGTCCAGGCATCCGAAAGCTACATTTCGGTAATTGTCCATGGTTTCAGTCACAAGCTTCCTGTTTATGCAAAAACTCTGTGTGAGTCATTGTCAAAAGTGAAACTGGAGCCAATGCGCTTTGAGGTACGTATCTCTTGTCCCTGCAATCTCATGGGCATGTAAAGATCACAACCCTTCTGTTTTCCTGCTCTCTCTCCACGTCTGCACTCAGATGATGAGAACAGTCCAGAATTTCACAGGTTGTTTTTGCATATAAGAATTCATGGATCACCTCTCCGTCCACATTGTAGCTCCACGAGTGAAGCTCTCTTCTTCCATGCTTTCCTGTTCTGGTTCTGAAAAGTGGTCTCCTTCCTCTTGTCCTTCTCCTCTTGCCTCCTTGTCCTCCTTAAATCATCCCTCTCCGCACACTCCCTTATGTAGCATCCTACCTGCTGGTCCTCCTCATCCCTCTGTCACCTCTTCATCACCCTCCAGGTTCCCTGACGTTGTTGTTCAGCTTGTTTTTTTTGGTTTTTTTTTTGGTTTTTTTTTTTTTTTTTTAACCGAATATCAGGTAGCTTGTCTGCAGCCTTGTTTGTCTTTTCATCCAACCGGTTCATTGAAAAAGTTGGTGATCTGAGGATCTGTCTAAGCCACCCCCCCCACCTCCTGCCCCCTGCCTTCTCCCCCCCATATATGGGAAACTTCGTCAATCCCACACCCAACCACTTAAACCACCAGTCCATCCGAGCCAGTTGGGCACTTTTCCCCCAGATGAGGCCCGCCCGTCGCCACCATTGGCCTGTAACCAACCAAATGGCTGGCCCTCATAAAAAGGGGGGAACTGAAAAAAAAAAAGAAAAAAGAAAAAAAAAAAGACGTCTCAGCTCACTGAGTCCACGAGGTTGGCTTGAAAACAAGAACAAGGTGGTTCAAAGAAGAACTTGTGTTCTTTATGCTGCTGATCAGGTTTCAGTCACAATTTTCTTTTTCAATTCAGTTTGGCCTGGCCGGATTTTGAAATTTTTTGACAGTTGAGCTACTTTAGCACAGTGGACTGGGACCACTTGTCCGGCCAGGCCAAACTGAATTGAAAAAGAAAATTGTAATTTTTAGTTTTAATTTTTGAGTCTCTTTTTTTTTTTTTTTTTTTTTTTTTTCGGAATAAGGCCCGTGCAGATCTGCTAGGGAGGGTGGTAAGAGCAGCCCACCCTAGCATCTTGCTGACAGCCACTCCATCTATTGGTGGGGAGCTTCACCTGCTGGAAATCGGGTGCAGCGTCCCTTGAAGACATAAGTGAGAACAAAGCTGAGTACATGATTATCAGAACATCTGGCTTAAGAATTTGGCAAAGAATTTTGATATGACCGCTTGGCCCGGTTCCCAGCACGTGTTGCTCCCCACGAATATTTTCAGCTTGTTTTTCTGCACAACATAGTTTTTTTTTCCGGATCAGGTGACCTACGTGGCCCCGGTTGGTAACTCAGCAGTTCGGTGGATTTTGCTGTTCTCCACTTTGGAATGATGACAGGCAAAGAAGGACATGATTGTGAGAGCGTATGGAGACCTGAAGATAGATGTGGATGATCACCTGGTGTCCCTGAGAAGTGACCTGTTGTTCACGGGTTTCTCAAATGAAGAAATTGGAGAAGCATTTGCAACAATCAGCCTGGAAGATATGCGCGATTTCATCCCTGATATGGTGGATCAGGTAAGCCTGTTTTACATCTTGAGCAGTATCTGACACCACCGTTGGGACTCGCCACCGTCGTGTAGAAACACCAGGACACTGTTAGGACAGTCTGGATGTCACAAAACAATACCTTCTTCAACATCGTAATGAAGCCACCACTAGTCCCTTTCCTCGCTTGAAAATCAAATTGGCGGTGTATTCAGAAGCCAAGCGGGAAAGGGCCGCTGTTGCTGTTGAGAAATTTCATCGGCAGCGCGTTCGGGCCTCCGAAATGGGAAAGGTACTGATGGTTTAACCTCGGGTTCATGCTTGCTGAAGAGAAAGCTGTAAAGTACGTATAAACTTATAAAGTACTATGAACTGAGGGCATAATCACACTGGCAAGTTATTATTGCAGTATGGGGCAAGATACAGTTTGCAAGTGCACTTCAGGCACCCTACCTGGCCAGAAAGCTGGGTTGTATACATTGCCCGAACTGCAGTTCAAAACTTTATCTTGGCCCATAGTGCAATAAAGCAATTATAACTCCTTTTTGTGACTCCTGCGTACTTTCCTCCCCCACCACAAAAAAAAACTTAGGGCGTACTCACACTGGCACTATCTTTCTTTCTTTTTTTTTTTAATTAGACAGGTCCTTATGGCCCTGGCTCCATTTCCATTCTGGGGAGCATCAGTCTGGTTCCTATTCTACCCGCAAGTCAGGAAAAATAACATCATAGGACACCCTCATGCTTCCTTCCGTCTGGGCGAAGGAACCCTGATCAGGATTGATTGCCCCAACATCGTGGAGGATTGACTGTCAGCTTGCCCTGCTTCCACCTTTCCTCTCAGGACTACTATAAGAACCTGTTAAATAAAACATGAAAGGCAAGAACGGTCTGGGAAGCTGCAACTGGTACCAATTCTGTCTAATCCCTACACCCCGCATTTGAGCCTCGTGAAATCCCTGGCATTTTAACCCCTGCTTGCCTTGTTTCTGTCCAAAGCCTCAACCCTAAACCCTAGGCCCTGAACAAGATTAATCTTTTTCCATCTGTTCCCTGTGAAACTATCTTTAAGAAAAAAACAAAAAAAAACAGCCTCTGTGGGCACTAGAGGTGCTGATAAGAGCAGGCACCTCTTGCATCTCAAGTGAGGCTTCATTTATTGGTGTGGAGCATCACCTGTTGGAAAACAGGTCCAGCGTCCCACCCCCTCCCCCCCTCAACACCCCACCTCGTCCAGGAGGAAGATGCTCTGAAGGTGATAAAGAAGCATCCATTCCCCACACAGGGCTGAGGAAGCCAGACACTGAAGACAGGACGTCAGAAGGTGATCGATCCCTCAATCGGCAAGGTGGATATAGGTCCGCAAGGTAAAGCAGAAAGGGAGACGGAGAGTGAATAAGACGAGGGAGCAACACCTCGGGGGAGAGGATATTGAACCGCTGCATGGCTAATGAGAACAGAGAGAGGATAGAGAGAGCGGACTGACAGGTGCCGGGCAGGAAACAGGCAGAGACAGCGTAGGGAACACTTATGTACTGCAGCATGACAAATAAGGATATAGTGCGGATAGAGAAAGGGGACTGACAACAGGAGGACACTGAAGCCCATCCGGAAAGGGGACTGACAACAGGAGGACACTGAAGCCCATCCGGAAAGGGGACTGCCAACAGGAGGACACTGAAGCCAACCCAAGACAGGGTATGGAACGATCCAGGAGGGAAAGGTGAGGTGGGCACAAACACGGGAGGACGAGAAGCAAACCCGGACCTTGCAGGTTAAAATGCAGCCGGCTGCCCGAAGGGAAGGGGTGAAAAAAAAAAAAACAGATGATCATCAGTCAATGGGGGGGCGACGTGATGGCCGGGGAGAGAGGAGACAAGGGAAGCAAAAGCGAGACAGTCCAAGGAAAGCGCTCCAAGAGCGAAAAAAAAACAGTACGAACACGCAGCACTGAAGAAACACAACTAGGAGCAATCATTGGAGCCGCTTCAGAAGAGCAATGGAGGAGGAGTTAAGGAGGGCTTAAGGTTGAGATGGACAGCTTCAGGGGTGGAATATGAAAAGGAAATGCAGCCGGAATAGCTAAACACAACACAAAACGGCAGAGCAGGAGCAATGACAGGGCCTGCCTCCGGATGCAACTACCTCCCCCGAGAGGGAGCTACCAAAGCCACACGGGGGGCTGCAGACACCGGGAAGTGGTCGGGGACCGCTGGGCTAGAGGGAGACATAGGATAGGCAGGAACAGTTGGCAACTTCCACGGGGGGGCTGGGCCACGGGAAATGAAGGAGCCCCAGTTAAAGGGAGGGTAGTATCAGCAGCTCCACGGGTAATGATGGCGCTCCACTGTCGGAATATGCAATGGCTATAGCCCTGACTCTGTATTGAAATGATGTTTCTATGGGACGCTGGACCCGGTTTCCGGCAGGCGTCGCTCTCCACCAATAGATGGAGCAGCCCGACAGCCAAGACCTCAATTCTGGCAGTTCTCTCACCACTGCCAGGATAGAGGCCTTGCAAAAGGGCTTTCACAAAAAAAAAAAAAAAAAAAAAAAGCCTGATGTTGTCTGCGACAACCCCGATTGAGGATCTCCCCTTCGACCCCGACGAGTGGCATTGGTCCCAGGGAGCCACGACTAGACAAGGGCCGACAAATCAGCTAACACTTTACAATCTAAAAACCAAATCAGCCTATCGTATGCTCCGTCCCAAACGAAGACTGCGGGAGACGGTTGAGGACAGGTGGCATCGTCATCTTAACGTGGACCGAGACTTGCTCAAGCCGATCAATTGGTTTACTCAACTTAGGAATAGACCCGCTAAGATCTCGGTCCTTCAGTGGCAAATAGCACACCGATGCCTGCCGACAAACAACTGGTTGATAGATCACACCCGTTTGGAGCAGCAAGGTCGGGCATTACCCTGGTGCCATAGTTGTCTCTTGGGTTACCCGGGGAGGAAAAGGGTCGAAACAATTGAACACATCTTCCTCCAATGCCCGGCCTCGGTTTTGCTCTGGAGGGTCTGGGACAGGATCTGGCGACACATTGTCCCCGGTGCAGAGTGGCCATGGGAGTGGAGGGCCATATTACTAGGTCATTACCCCCCGATCCGAGAGACACATTCGAGGAGAACATGTTTCATTTGGGCAGGCGGGCGGTCCTGTGGGTCATCTGGTGGAAACGTTGCATTTTGGCAATGGAAGGGGCACGGGTTGAAGAAGGAGAAGTCACAGAACAGTTACGCTTATTAGTCCAACATGAAATTCCTGCCCAGTGGAAGGCGGCCAGAGACAAACTTGACCAAATGAATTCCTGGTCTGACATCAACAGGATCATCTCCCGATTCAGTCAGGATTGGTTGGGAGGGGAAAGAAAAGGATGGGTGGCGGAGGTAAGATGGTCTGAGAATTGTCAGCAGGGAGGAGAGCTGCAAGAAGGACACCGGACGGAGATAGCAAGAGATTATCAGCTGATCTTCCATGAGTGGACAAACCTCGATCCTGGCGAGAGGTTACGCCCGGCTCAAGAATTTGCGGACCCCTTCCCCCCCCACCCACTGGCACTGGAAGAGGTCCTTCCCCCATGCTCACAGTAACCCAGTCCGGTGGAACCGGCCCGGCTCAGTTATCTTCGTTCGGATTTTTTCGGTCTACGTTCTGGCTACTTGATCCTGCCCTCGTTTTCTGCGGTCCCCTACTCCTCCTCCCTTCTGCTCTCTTCCTCTGCCTCCTTCTGTTCCTTCTCTGGTTGTCTATCCCTGTTTATCCCTGTTCATCTCTGTTCACCTCTGTCTATTCTGTCCATTCTGTCTCTCCCAACACAAGCCCAGTCTCATGGTTAGTAGAGGGACAGCAGCAGATGGTGGTTGGATGAACAGCACCGACATGGGATGCTGGACCCGGTTTCCAACATTGGCAATGTACTGTCTGGTTCAGTGTTTTCGGTTACAGCAGAGGGACCGCAGCAGATGGATACACTGCAGGATTGCCTGGCTGAACAGCACTGATATGGGACGCTGGACCCGGTTTCCAGCAGTGGCGATGTACTGTCTGCCTCAGCCTTTCTGATAATTCCAAATATCGAGAGGCGCCACATTGGTTGGATGAACAGCACAAATATGGGACGCTGGACCCGGTTTCCAGCATTTGCAATGTACTGTCTTTCCCAGCTTTTTCAGATAGTTTCAAAATAACGAGGCGTCAGAAGGTGAGTAGGTGGATGGCAGGGGCTGGGGTTGGAGGAGGCTCCACTGGTGCCCCCCAGTGGGTCCCCCCCCAATACCCGAGCCTGCTGCAAGATAGGTATGGTATAGTGGATGGGATGGGAGGCTGGACCCAGTTTCCAGCGCAAAGGCGCCACTTTTAAAATGCACTGCTTATACAGATGTATTTAAGGGACGATGGACCTGGTTTCCAACAGGTGTTGCTCCCCACCAATAGATGGAGCGGCCCGCCAGGCAAGCCTCAATCCCGGTGGTTCTCTTACCACCACCAGGATAGAGGCCTTGCATATGGGCCTTCTCAAAAAAAAAAAAAAAAAAAAAAAAGACATGAATAGATGTGCGACCTGCCAGCATTGATTGCCCTGGAGTCACAGGGGATTGACTGAGCAGGTTCGGATTTGTCTTGGGAGATGTGAGCCTGCAGTAAGTCGTTGCGGTCGCCCGAGGTGGGCGGGGGGTGTTGGGAATGTTGCTGCGGGCTTCCCGGGGGATCCAGAGCTCACACGTCATTCCTCCCCTCCTTCACCTCTCCCTCTGTCCTGGGCTCATTTCTGGGGCTCACTTCAGTCTTCTTGCATGATTTCCACTATCAACAGTCGATGGCGAGGAGAAGTCGGATGCTGGTCTCTTTTTTTTTTTTTTTTCCGAACAATCCCTCTGGTGCTAGCGGTGCTGGTAAGAGCAGACACCGCTATCACCTGGGGAGAGACTCCGTCTATTGGTGGGGAGCATCGCCTGCTGGAAAACGGGTCCAGCGTCCCGTGTACAAAATGTATCAGGAAACAGAGAACTTTGCAGAAGGACTGAGAAAGTATCTGAAAAAGTCGGATGCTGGTCTCAATGGCATGCTGGGGTCAATTGCTGTCCATTCATGGAAATGCAGTTGATGATATTCATGGAAATGCAGTTGATAATCTCTGGCGACATCGGCCCCTGGTTGCTTTTCCTCCTCTTGTTGTTGTCCATGTGCCGGGGCGTCCCCTGACCAGGTCACCTCTGCCATCCAGCAGTCCCCTCCCAGCCATTCCCCTGTCAACTGGGAAATGATTCTGTCTATGTGTCTTGCCGTTTGCCGTTGTTGCTCTTTTTTTTTCTTTTTTTCTTTTTTAAATGAAATAGCCCTTGTGTCAGCCCTCTATCGCGGCGGCGGTACGAGAACCGCCAGAATTGAGGGCTTGTCTGTCGGGCTGCTCCATCTATTGGTGGGGAGCGGCACCTGCTGGAAACCAGGTCCAGCGTCCCTTTGGTACATCTTGTAACACAGAAATTGTTGTTCGTCGTTTCCTGGGGCTGTGGTTCTTTCTCTTGTCGGTCCAGGGCTCCATTGTCCCATGGAGCTGCTAGTAGCACCCATCCTATCTTGGAGCACCCCTTATCTATTAGCCCAGACCTGTTCAGGAGCCCCCCGAATCGTTGTTTCCATGTCTGACTTTTTAAACCCTTTAAACCCTCTACCCTCTGTAAACCCATGCTTGACACATTCTCGATCCTTGAAGCCTAAGGATCTGCAATGAGATGGTTAGCGATGCAATGCAATGCCGTGCAATAGAACTCAAATCATTAGGAAAAGATTATGCCTATCCTATTGCCTGGCTGGGGGTATTCCCAGGTACTGTGAAGGTCAGAACTGCATGGGAACTTGTTCGTCGGCGAGGCACTTGCATATGATGTGCCCCTCCACTTATCTCATTAAGTTTTGTGATAGCATTTGAAATTGCATCTCCTGCCTAATGTGTGTGGGTTCTTGTGTTATTTAATCAAACAAAAGTAATGTGACAGATTTGTGTGGAAGGTTTTGCCCATGGGAACACGTTAGCCCACGAGGCACTTGCGTGCTGAAGGAGACACTGCCCCTGAACTTATCTCTTCTGCAGTAGCACTTGAATTGCATCTCCTGCCTAATGTGTGTGTTATTGTGTCATTCAATCAAACAAACGCAATGTGACAGATTTGCGTGGAAGGTTTTGCCCATGGGAACTTGCTAGCCGGCGAGGCACTTGCATTTGTGAACGTGCTGAAGGAGGCACTGCCCCTCCACTTAACTCGTTTGTGTGAGCGCGTGAAAACGGAGTTCTATGTGCTAAAGCCTGGTGTTGTTTACCTTGCCAGCGAACCCGCAAAAAATGAAGATGAAGAGAATTCTGTTGTTGAGGTGAGCAAGTGTCAGCAACCCATCTCTTCTCATTTTTAAGCACAAATTGGATGCACGAACTGTTGCATAAGCATTGCATTTTATGCACCAAATTTTGCGAATGTCACATGTGTGAAAGTCCTTAGAGTGACCTTTCCAGTCCCTGGAAAACCCAAAAGTCAAAGCAGCAACGGACCTGTCAAATCCAGGTTCAGTACCCCTCCCTCCCCCCTCCCCCCTCCCCCCCCCCCTCCCCCCTCCCCTCCCACCTCGATCCACTACCATTACTGCAGGTTTCATGCCATTGGGGAAAAAAGTACAGTGCATCATAATTTCATATGTTAACTATCCTGCTAGCCCCATCAAGGAAATGAGGCCTCATGATAAAAGTCATGTTCAGACCTCCCTTGGGAAATTGTTTGGCTCGGTACTTGGACCGGAGCAACCCTATACTGTCCCAGCTGGTCCACAGACTATGTCTCCTATATTGGCCCGGCTATAACCCAGTGATTGGTGTGGAGTGACCGTTGGCCATCGGAGCATGCCCACTCTGTTGGCCCAGCTATCCCCTATAACCAAAGCCCACTGAAAATCTTGGCCGGGAAACCGTTGGGCCGAGTATTTTTCGCCCGGACCGACCCTCTACCATCCTAGCATGCCCACAGACTATGTCCCCTCTTCCGGCCCAGATATCCCCCTAGTAACCCAGCGGGCCTCATGATGAAAGGCCTGCGGAAACCTCACCTACCGGATCGCTGGACCTGGTAGTCGGCCCAGCATGGCGCTGTAACAGCCCAACTTGTCCAAAGACTATGTCCCCTCTGCCCAGCTGTGGACAAAGAGCGTGTATGGTCCTAATCATGATCGTTCATTTGCAGGCATAAGGTGTCCCTCTGCGGCTTCTGTATTATTCACTGTTGGGACGGTAGTGGTTGTTCGAGGTCCATATGGTGATTACTTAAGAGGCGGTGGTTGCTGCGGGTGTGTTCTGGTGTCCTCTTCATCCAGATTGCAGACAAAGTTGAGTCTCTCTCTCTCTCTCTCTCTCTCTCTCTCTCTCTCTCTCTCTCTCTCTCTCTCTCTCTCTCTCTCTCTCTCTCTCTCTCTCTCTCTCTC